TATCATTTTACAAAATTTCTCCGGAAACTGGAAAGGTAACTGTCTGTCATTTTAGCAGACGACGACGGATGAAGTATTGACACAAGTGGGCTTTAAGAGATCCCGCAATCAAGACAGTTTTTTTTTTCTTGGAGAGGAAAATAAAAAGAAAATATCGTATTTGATCCATTACAGATCGAACTGCTTACAGGTCATATTATTCGCCGAAGATATTGAAGAAAAGTAGAAAACCTATTGAAAGAAATCCCTAAAAATTCTTAATAACTTTATTTTGTGGCTGGTATCAATTGGAAACCCCTGTATTATTTGGACCCTTACAATTTTCAATTTTGTTGTTGTAAAGATCAAAGAGTTGAGGGGGAGGGGGAGAGTGAGGGGTTAGCAAAGTAGGAAAACCAATACACCAAGATCCCTGATCATGGCCGTATTTTGTGCTTGTCGTTTTATTTTTATTTATTTTTCCTTTTTATACCTTTCACCATTCTATGGAGGGTATACAGGGTGAGATAAAAAAAAAACTGCAACAAAGTCAAGCGCCATAATTTTTATTTTTTTAAATTTCTATTGAATGAAAGCAAAAAATGTCGGAAATAGCATCAAATTTTAGAAAAAAGTTTAGATTTGTTCGAATTCATCACCTTTGGCACGAATTATGGCCTTCAAACGGCCAATGAAACCGTCACACGCTGCCCGAATGTTGCTCTGCGGTATTTTGGCCTATTCACGGCGAAGCGCTTGCTTGAGGTGATCGACACTTTGGTATTTCCTTTAGTGCCAATCTTGCTTTCCAAAATACTCCAGACACAATAGTCCAACGGATTGGTATCTGGAGATTTTGGTGGCCATTGTGCGCTGGAAACAAAGTGGGGAACCTCATTTTGTAAGCATTCTTGGATGGCGCCCATGCTGAGTGCAATGGCGCTGAATTCTGTAGGAATGTCAAAGGTCTGCGTTGGAATGTCCCAAATGTTTGCGTGCCCAAGGCTTTAAAACACCCTCCAGAATATTTTTGCGATAATATTCGGCATTTATTCTGATGTCACGGTCGTATTAATCATATGAGCGAAGAGCGACCATTGGCTGTTATGGCGGTCCACACCATCCCCATGGCCGGCGCTTGAGTTCTGGTGGCCAACCGAAAGTACACATTCTCAGCTGACCTCTTTGGCAAGTAAACACGTTAATTTTGTTTGTTCACAATGAGCTGTCACTGGAATTATCTTAGCAGCTGTCGGACGAGTGGCTTAGAAATGACAGCAGTCTAAAGTTGCTTGCAATTTTTTCATCTAACCGTTTATATCGTCTTCACCACAGATCCTGCTTTAGCAAAAATATTTGGAAGCGTGAAATTTGATGAGAGTTGGATACTTATTTCCAGAAGGAGTGATCCGATCTCTACCCTCTTTATACAGATTTTGTGTTGATGAAAATGATGAGATGTGCCAAGTCTAAAAAGAATCGGATATCAATTTCCTGTTTTATGAGCTTCATGGATACTCGAAATTTTGACCCTTTGTGGGAGAGGTACCAGAAGAAATGGACCGATATATTCCATCTTCACACCAGACCTTTGGTTAATAAAAATATTGTTATGTGTGCAATTTGAAGAGAACCAGATATTTATTTCGGATTTTATGATCGTTTTTGTTATTCTAGGTAGGTAGGAGATACCAGAAGGAATGATCCGATGCCTACCCTCTTTATAGAAGATCTTGTGTTGATGGAAATTATGAGATGTGCCAATTCTGTTTTATGAGCTTCATGCATACTCGAAATTTTGACCCTTTGTGGGAGAGGTACCTAAAGGAATGGACCGATATATCCCATCTTCACACCAGACCTTTGTTTAATAAAAATATTGTAATGTGTGTAATTGGAAGACAATTGGACACTGTCCAAAGAGACCTAGGGTCTAAAACAATTTTTTCGATGAGGCACATTTTTTTAAAAAAAATTCTAGTGGTAGGTCTTTTACCCTGATTCCGGGAAATTAAGAGTGTCAGCTATAATTTGCCGTCAATTTTGTTAACCCCCTTTTTCGACTTTTTTTGGGGTTTTAAAAAACCGGATCCAAAAAACGGATAATTTGACTATAACTTCCGAACCGATTCTAAGAACCCCATCATGTGACCTATTATTGGGTAGATTTTTTATAAGCTTTCCAACTTTTTCGGGTAAGTAGATCCGGGTCTAGTTCGGTCCTTAACCCGGACGTTCGGGTCAAAAACATGGGGTCCCGGGTCCGTACCCCAAGAAAAAAATAGTTTCTCGGAAAAAATTTCGAAAGAATCGAAGAGCTTTTACTAAACAAGAGATGTTCCCTCTTTGCATTTGGGCGCCGACATCAAGGAACAGAGTATCCAACCTAACATTTGCTTACAAACCTGATTTTTATAAAAAAAAATTATATCATTATATAGCCCACAAAAACTCATCCTACTCACCTTGGCCGCTGCGAAACCATCTGGATTGCAACTGGGCAATAAATGTATTTCCGTTGTATTCAATAGCTGTTGAATTTCTCCGACATTTTCATAATTTTTCACAAGATATTGAGCCAAATATACGATCATTTGACGACCCAAAGTCTCGTCGCCATGGATGTTGGCGGTAACTTTTACCACGGGACGCAATAAATCACCCGCACTGGCATCTTCACCCGGTGCCGAGAGAGCCAAAACATTAAGATCGCGTTTTTGCAAGGTTTTACCGATCGAATATGCACGCGCCAAATGGGGATATTCTTCCTGTAGGCGAGCGAACAACGAACGAATTTCTCCGTTATTTAGATATTTGGGCGCCACTAGGAAATTCTTTTCTTGCGACGACGCAGACGCATCACCATAGACACCACGACTTAGAACACAACATAACAGTAGCGAGACGAAGAACATGAATTTACGACACGACCACTGTGAGTCACGACGACTACTTGTTGGATTACGTCGAACGCCATTGCTTCTAGAACGCAGCAGTGTCGCACCTGCGCACATTTTTTCTCTTTTTTTCACTCACAATTCACTTGGATGGCTTAAAACTTTTCCACCGAGCCACACAAAAAATTGGATTTAAATTTTTCCTTTCTTTGGCGATTTTCACACCACTCGGACACACACACACTTTGTATTTTTTTTTTTTATTTTTTGCTACTTTGTGCAAAACATGTAGCCCATGTAATCTTTTTTCCAATACTTTTTTTTCTTGGATTTTTAACACCTCTTATTATATTTCTTTTTATTATTTGCTGACGTTGAGAGGTCGATTTCTCCCTCTCTCTTTGTATGACTGATGCACTTGGAATTCTTTGTTGTTGCTGCTGCTGTTGCCTTTGTCACGACACGGCTTCTTTTTGTGACACACACTATAATTTTCTTTATTTTTTATATTTATTATTTAATTTTCTTATTAATTAAAACATAATATAAACAAAAAGAAACGAAAACAAGACACCGATATGAGACGAGCAAAGCAAGCGAACGAAACAAAAACCGGACGTGAATTTGTTGTGTTTATGGTCTTGTCAAACACAACTAGGGATGACACATCGAACTATACAGTCAACATCGATGGTGGCGATAGTTTGTTTTTTGGCAGCAATATCGATGGACGAGTCAATGCAGTCTTGCCAGATGAAATTTTAGACTCATAGTTAATTAGTTGAGAGATGCCGGTAATTGATGAGGATTTTTTACAACAATATTAGGAAAAGGAAAGGGGATTTTTAAGGGAAAGTTTTAAAAAAAATGATTTAAATACGGTATTTCAAGGAACGGAAGGTATTTTAATGTAAACTACAGACAATAGAGAGTGAATATTTAAGGGAAAGATTCTAGAGAAAAACGAACTGGATAGAAGGGAAGTTTTAAATAATGATCTAATAACGGTATTTCAAGGAACGGACGACAATTATTACAAACTACAGACAATAGAGAGTGGATATTTTAGCGAAAGGTTCTAGAGAAAAATAAACTGGATATTCTAGAGAAATTTTTGGGAAACGATCGTGGAAATTTTAATGAACGATTTAAAAGAAATTTGTGATAGAAGAATGTGTACATTTTGAGGATTTCGAGAAACGTTTAATCATGGCACAATAAAAAGGTAAGGTAGAGCTTCCAACTAATTACAATTTTTTTTTTAGTGTGCCCGACTTTTGCCATTTTTTTTTGAATATATTTGTTGTTGTAAAAAATAAAAACAAAATGTTTTGAAAATCAATGATTCAATATTGCATTCGGCAAATATTGAAAAATGAGCTCGGGGAAAAGGCATTGAAATTCCAAAAAGTGCAAGAACTTACACCGCAACAGGAACAGAACAGACAATAGACTCAAAAGAGCTAAAGAGCTGCTTCGCTTGGCCGAAAGTGGTGAACTGCCGAATTTGGTTTTCTCCGATGGGAAAACATTCGTTGTCCAGCAGTTTGTAAACAAACAAAATGATCATGTTTACTTGCCAAAGAGGTTAGCTGAAAATGTGTACCTTCGGTTGGCCAACAGAACTCAAGCGCCGCCCATCGTCATTGTGGGGGTCGCCCTAACAGCGGATGGTCGCTCTCTGCTCGTATTAATCGTCCGTTGCATCAGAATAAATGCCGAATATTATAGCGAAAATATTCTGCAGGGTGTATTAAAGCCTTGGGCCGCAAACTTTTTGACCGTAGACTTTGGGCATTCCAACAGGACTCAGCATCTGGAGCATGGTAGATGCATCAACGCTTGGGAGCATTGATATGTCAAAAAAATTTAAATGTTTTTTTTTTTTTTTTCAAATATAAGTAGAGTTTTATATGTTTTGTTATACGACGTCATCCGGAGGTTATTATAATTCAAATTTTTCAACAATTTTTAAATTTAAATAATTTTTCATTCAACATTTTCAATTCAAAAATTGGTTTGACAGTTCATTGTCTCAGCAGCCTTGCCTTTGCCTTTTTAGGGACATGGAAATCGATAAGTGACCACAGTAGGGTTATACAAATCAATGTTTCATTGCTGCTTTTAACTATTGTGAATTAAATATTGTAATCTGCCCCGACACTCTCTCACGTAAGGCGAAAAAATCAACACGAAGAAAGAAAAATTTGGAAAATTTTCAATTCAACAGCTTCAAAAGTCTTCAGAGTTGTGGAAAAACGTATCCTCTTAAATGTGTGTGGATAAAAATTATCAAAATATAAACGCTCCCTTCAAGGGCCCAGGAAAATAAGCAAATAATCAACATCCTCCATCCAATCGACCAAAGGCACACCAACAACAACAACATCAGCAGACAAGAAAAGATTGAGTAATTTTTTAGCAAAGAAAACAACAGACAGACAAGCAGGTAGTTCACACACACACGTACACCACTACTACTACTACGTTGTTGTCGTTTCGTTAAAGTCTAGACGATCACCACTTACCTAGAATAAGGAAGCTAGGAAAGAAGAACTCACAGAGGCGTACATTAACCTTGAAACAATGCCCAACTCAAGAGCCTCGGCCGCGGCCGAAGTGGTCCACACTGGATCCGGACCCCAGCCATTGGTGAAAATTGGCCACTATCTGCTGGGTGCTACTTTGGGCACGGGCACCTTTGGTAAGGTCAAAATTGGTGAACATCAAATGACCAAACACAAGGTGGCGGTGAAGATTCTGAACAGGCAAAAAATCAAATCCCTCGATGTGGTGGGCAAGATTAGACGTGAAATTCAAAATCTCAAACTTTTCCGACATCCCCACATTATCAAGTTGTATCAGGTGATATCCACACCCACGGATATTTTCATGATCATGGAATATGTCAGCGGGGGCGAGCTGTTCGATTACATTGTCAAGCATGGCAAGCTGCAGGAACACGAGGCCAGGCGTTTCTTCCAGCAAATCATTTCCGGTGTGGACTATTGCCATCGCCATATGATTGTCCATCGTGACTTGAAACCGGAAAATCTGCTGTTGGACCACAATCGCCATGTAAAAATTGCCGATTTCGGTTTGTCCAACATGATGTTGGATGGTGAGTTCCTGAGGACATCTTGTGGCTCCCCGAATTATGCTGCTCCTGAAGTTATCTCGGGCAAGTTGTATGCTGGTCCTGAGGTAGACATCTGGTCATGTGGTGTAATTTTATATGCCCTGCTGTGTGGCACCTTGCCTTTTGACGATGAACATGTTCCAACATTGTTCCGGAAAATCAAATCTGGCATATTTCCCATACCGGAATATTTGAACAAGCAGGTGGTGAATTTGGTGTGTCAAATGTTACAGGTGGATCCGCTGAAGCGAGCCAACATCGAGGAGATTAAAAAACATGAATGGTTCCAAAAGGATTTGCCATCCTATCTCTTTCCCTCTTCGATTGAACAGGATTCCAATGTCATTGATACCTATGCAGTGTCGGAGGTATGTTCGAAATTCGGTGTCAAGGAACAGGAGGTGCACAATGCTCTGCTGAGTGGTGATCCCCATGACCAATTGGCCATTGCCTATCATTTGATAATTGACAACAAGCGTTTTGCTGATGAGGCTGCCAAGACGGAAATAAATAATTTCTTTGTTGCCGGCTCACCACCGCCGGCGGCCCACTCACCAAATGAGCCGCAAGATCCTAATTTTGGTGGTGGATCTTCATCGGGTACCTCCACGCCGGGTAGAACGTCCTTGACACCATCCATGAAACCCCATCCGGAACGTATAGCGCCGCTGCGCGAACGGCAACTGGCCATGGCAGTACAGGCCCAGGGAGGTGGAGCCTTCCCCGAGAAGGCTGCCCGCGGTACACCCATTAAACGCGCCAAATGGCATTTGGGTATACGTTCGCAGAGTAAACCCAACGATATTATGTTGGAGGTGTATCGTGCCATGAAAGCCTTGGATTATGAATGGAAAATCATCAATCCCTATCATGTACGGGTGCGCCGTCAAAATCTGAAAAATGGTACCTATTCCAAGATGTCTTTGCAGCTATATCAGGTGGATGCCAAAAGTTATTTACTCGATTTCAAATCGCTGACCAACGATGAAGTGGAACAGGGTGATGATGTTATTTTGGAAAGTCTAACACCACCACCGTTGAGTCACTCCGGGGTAATGCCACCCCAGCCCACGGGCCATCATACAATGGAATTTTTTGAAATGTGTGCTGCTCTTATTATACAGCTGGCCCGTTGAAGTGGAGGTGCTGACTATTTTTCAAAAAAAAAAAAAAAAAATTATTTTCATAATTTTATAAGCTATCCCAAAGTCGTACTATGTATCAGCTCAAGGTGTCGTAATGGCCTTGATATATTCTATCTATCGTAAATGTAAACGAAAACTACATGCATCAAAATAATTATTATTGTTGTTTATTTAGAAATTATTATTATTCTATTTTATATTCCAAATATATATCTTTAATCGCCCCTCACCCAAAAATTGTCTCTCTCCCCCCACGCTCTTGGTTTAAAAAACAAAAAACACTTTCTTTGTTGGCTTGTTTTGTTGATTTTCTTGGAATTAATTTTTAAAATATTATTAGTGTTTTTTAAATATTCAAATATTTAAAGGCAATTTTATTTTATTTTTATTTTCTTTCAAAGGCAATATCATCTAATGTATGGCATGATTTATTAATTATTTTAATTTTTTCTCTTTGTATTAGTATTGTAAGTTTTATTTCTTCTGTTAATAAAGGTTAAGTGCTATTCAGAAAAAAAGTATTAACAAAAATGGAATATGAGTAGTTTTTTTATTTTGATCAAAACCAATTTCAATGAAGGGCAAGTACTTAAATGTCAAAGGTCATAAAACTCCACACAAATGTATAAAGGGTGAGATGAAAAAACTGCAACCATATTCACACTGCTGTCATTTCTAAGCCACTCGTCCGACAGCTGTTAAAATTATTCCAGTGACAGCTCATCATATTGTTTACAAGCGTACAAAGTCATTTTGGTGAGAAATTTCCATAAAAAAAGTTATTCGTGATGGAATTCAAGCGCGATAGGGTGATATCTTCATATTTGGCTGTAAAACCGCAAGTGGCTATCGTTAAAGACTCCAGCATTTAAATGTGAATAAATGATTAATCTTGGTCCCGGTTTTGGAATGGCTCCCACACAAAGATAACGCAATTTTTAAGTTTTATGGAGATAACTGCCACATTTATGAATCAATTAAGCTAGGATTTGGCAATAGAAGATATTCTTGGGCGAAGATTTTTTTTTTTAAAAAGTCACCCACTTGGGTCTATATTTAGATATGGGTTCCACACAGCATTACCACATTTTTTTTTCGTTTTTTACGATAATTCTGATTTTTCTAAACAGATTGTATTGTAATTTGATATTATGGGTTCTTATTAGGAACCTCAACTCTCTACAAAAAATTTTCAATCTTGGACCAGGTTTTGGAATAGCTCCCAAACAAAGATAACGTAATTTTTAAGTTTTATGATGATAACTGACACATTTATGAATCAATTAGGCTAGAATTTGGCAATAGGGGCTATTCTTGGGCGAAGAAAACTTTTTCAAATAGTCATCCACTTGAGTCCATATTTAGATATGGCTCCCACACAAAATGTCCTCCAATTTTAAGACTTTATACGATAATTCTGATTTTTCTATACAGATTGTGCTGTAAATTTGCATTATGGCTTCCTATTAGGAACCTCAACTCTCTGCCAAAAATTATCAATCTTGGTCCTGGTTTTGGAATAGCTCCCACAGAAGGATACCAAAATGTGGAAACTTAATGGAGATAATTTTCAGATTGATTAAGCTAGAATTTGGAATTATGAGTTCCACTATGCGAGGCTACCAACTACAAAAAACCTCCACATAGGTTCATATAACTCCCCTACAGAATTGTTTCTATTTCGGAGCTTTTTGAAGATAATTGCCATATTTATAGGTCGAAATTGATGAAAGTTTACATTATGAGTTTATATTGGTTAAAGCATCTTCCAGCTGAAATTTATCTGCATGGACCCAGTTTTTGGCGTAGAACCCATTCAAAAATATCACAATATTTTTTAGGTTATGTGGTATTAACTTTCATATTTATGAACCGTTTTTGTTGTAAATTGGTATATTTGGTTCTCATTGGATAAGCGAACTGCCTGCCAAGAATTATTGATTTAGGTTTACAGTTTGATATAGCTTCCATACAAAATCGCCTCTATTTTGGAGCTGTTTGAAGATAAATTCCATATTTATAGGTCGAAATTGCTACAATTTTGTATTATGAGTCTTCATCGGGTAAAGCATCTTCCAACTGAAATTTATCTACATGGACCCAGTTTTTGCTGTAGAACCCATTCAAATGTATCACAATATTTGAGGTTATGTGGCATTAATTCTCATATTTATGAACCGTTTTTGTTGTAAATTGGCATACTTGGTTTTCATTGGATAAGCGAACTGCCTGCCTAGAATTAATAATCTAGGTCCACAGTTTTATATAGCTCCCATATAAAAGTGCCCCTAATTTGAAGCTTTTTGAGGATAATTTCCATATTTATAGGTCAAAATTGCTGAAATTTCGCATTATGAATTGTCACTAGGTAAAGCATCTTCCAACTTAAATTCATCGGCATGGATCCAGTGTTTGGTGTGGAACCCATTCAAATGTATCGAAATATTTGAGGTTATGTGGAGTTAATTTTCATGTTTATGAACCGTTTTTATTGTAAATTTGTATATTTGGGTATTATTGAATAAGTGAACTGCCTGCCTAGAATTATTAATTTAGGTTCACAGTTTGATATAGCTCCCATACAAAAGTACCCCTATTTTGGAGCCTTTTGAACATAATTGCCATATATATGGGTCGAATTTGCTGCAGTTTGGCTTTATGAGTTTTCATCGGGTAAAGCATCTTTCAGCCGAAATTTATCCGCATGGACGCAGTTTTTGGTGTAGAACCCATTAAAACGCATCACAATATTTGAGGTTATGTGGCATTTATTCTCATATTTATGAACCGTTTTTATTGTAAATTGGTATATTGGGGTTTCATATGATATACAAACTGCTTGCCAAAAATGGTGAACCTAGCTTTACATTTTGGTATACCTGTCACACAAAGGAGCCTCCAGATTGGAGTTTTTTGATGATAATTGGTACATTAATTGCCAGAAATTCCTGTATTTCTGCATTTTGATTTGTCATTGGGTAAAACATACTCCAGCCGAAAATTATCTACATGGACTCAGGCTTTGGTGTACATCCCACTACAAGGTATGACAATATTTGAGGTTATGTGGCATTAATTCCTATATTTATGAAGCAATTTTGTTGTCAATTGGTGTATTGGGGTTTCATATGATATACAAACTGCTTGCCAAAAATGGCGAACCTAGCATTACATTTTGGTATACCTGTCACACAAAGATGCCTCCAATTTGGAGTTTTTTGAGGATAATTGGTACATTAATTGCCAGAAATTCCTGTAATTTTGCTTTTTGATTTGTCATTGGGTAAATCATCTTTTAGGTCAAATTTATCTACATGGACACAGGCTTTGGTATAAATCCCACTCCAATTTTTGAAGCAATTTTGTTGTAAATTGGTATATTAGTATATTATATGATATACAAACTGCCTGCCAAAAATGATGAACCTAGCTTTACATTTTGGTATGCCTACCACACAAAGGTGCCTCCAGTTTGGAGCTTTTGAATAAGGGAACTGTTATATTGTTTAATAAAAATCCTTTATTAACTTTTTTGTAAATATTATTGTTTTTATTTTTTTCTTATTAAACATTACAAACTTAAACTATTATTATTAAAAGAAACATAAAAAATATGTTATATAGAAGTTAGTTGAATTGGGTAAATTAAATTACTCTAAAAGGTATCGTTTATTTTTGCGGAGAAATTCATCAAAAGTTCGGTATTGTAAAATTGATAACTAATTTTATTTTTTGTTTTTCATTGATTTACTTTTGAAGGATAATTGTGCTGTTTTATATATACACAAAACACATTTACAGCCCGTTAATGAAATCTCGTATTTTTGTTTTGCTCTTATACTACTACTATTTCGTTTCTTTTTCCTCTGCATCTGCAGTTTTGCGATTTTTCTTCTTCAATTTATCTATTAACGATTCTATGCTATTCGCATCAACTAAACCAATAAATTTATCTACCACAACACCGTTGCGAAAAGCCAAAACAGCAGGTACAGCTTTCACTTCGAAAGTTTCCACCAATTCTGTGTTGTTTTCAACATCAATAATGGCCAAATCGATTTCGTTGGAATTCTCCAGGAGTTCTTCCATTTTGGGGGTAAGAATCTTGCAGGGATCACACCATTCGGCATGGAAATTCACAATGACGGGATTATCGCTGTTGATTACCTAAAAGGAGAAATAATAAAAAAAATGGTGGTTAAAATATTGTAAATAATTCTGAATTTAACTGTTGATGTGTTAAATATTTTCATTGGGATGTGTACTCAATTTTCTTCTACCCAAACGAATGCTGCAAAAACTAGGTATACCTTCTAACAAAAATCTCAGAAAAAGTTTTTTACAATTTTCGACTTCTTGAAGATATGGGGAGTTTATATTAGAATTTGTACAGAAGTCAATTTCTTTTACCAGAATCAGACTCTAGAACGGTGTTTGTAATTAAAGTAAATGGATACTGTTTTTCCGATTGCAATTAGGTTGTACAATATCCGTGTTCCGACTACGGCATTAGACAGAGACTTAGACTTCGATTTTGCTAATTCAGGTCCTCATAAGACGTCTATACCTAAAGCCCAAAAATATGATAAAGCTGTGACACAAAAGTGTTGTAGTTTATACCTTTTTTATGAAATATTAGCTCTGAATAGGAAAAAGAACGTTCCTTCTATGATGAAAATAATGTAGCGTCTAGGAACAAGTATAAAATACCATTTAATTTCCAAATCGAAGTCCATTATATATTTATCTCACATACCTTTTTCAAGTCTCAGACATTTTATTTCATATTTGGATATGTAATTAATAACAGTCTAAGGATCACATTTCATTCCCACGACTATCCTGGGAGGTTCAAAATGAAAGTTTTTCATTAATCCATTTCTTTCTTTCCATTTCTTTAAGAAAAGTTTGCATAGTATCCTCCGCTTTATCTACTTTTATTATCAATTTAATTTAAGTTTGCATAATTTCTACCTCATTATCTTAGTTCTGGGTTGATTCAAGC